AGAAACCAGTTTTTATATTCCTTGCCCAAAGGAAAAACATTGTTGCTCCAAAAGCATGATCCTAGTTTTTATGCTGTTTCATTTTGCTTCATTTCTGTAGAATATTGAATACCTCTCTAGAGAACTGAGATCAAAAAGCCTCAAGCACTCAGGAGAGCTCTGGTAGCATAACAACTAACTGCACATCAGCTAAGCCACTGCAAGCACTGGTTACTGAGTACTGTTAACACATCACAGTAAATAAGGTCAATAAACTGAGCTTAAACTGTGTGAAAAAGGCAACATTTTAAAACTAGAAACATGAGAAGACAAGTGTGTATTACAGTTTCTCAGCTGATAAATGCTTCCACAGTAAGCCATTCAAATTTGATAATATTTTATTCCTAAACCTATCAGCCTTTTTTTAAAATGGCAAATAAACCAGGAAAGGTTACAAGATCTAATATGTGGCCATGCTACAAAACACCGGCGTGGTGTTAACATTTTATGCCCTCACACACTTGCTAATTCTTCTCTAAATTTCTTCACCCATAGTGAAGCTAATAGAACTAAATATGAGCCCATATCTCATTCACTTCTATGCAAAATTCAGACATCTTTCCTTAAATAACTATTGAAAGTGGGTTTTGCTTATCTGGCTGATTTACCTCTTTAGCTTATTAAATAATGTTCCTATTTTCATTCCCCCATTGGTATCTAGGATTTTTGCTCTTAAGAAGGAAACAGAACCATTTTGTGGCCTCAGTAGCTCTCTGATCACCAGGTAATGTCACTATCCTAGTTATTCATATTAGGTTTAGTTCCAGAACTGCAGTCCAGTACAGCAGGTTTGGTTGGAGCTTCACTGGCAGAGGTCTGAAAAGAAGCCACAATAACACGGATACCTTGCAGTGTATCAAGTTCATGCCAGCCCTGGCTGAACCGGCTCTTTGATGAAAGTTGATCTATTCTCACCAGCACTACTCTTCAAGAGTTCATTTGCATTCCGCATCCTACCTCAAGTTAAAAGGTCTGTCCTGAGAAACCATTAGCACATGAAAATCCTGTAACAGCCAATGTCAGAAAAGTGCCTGAGGCTGCAGGGCACCTGAAGTGGTTTATGAAAGTCACTATGCATTTTAAACTCCATGTTACTGCTAAAGAGATCAGAAGTACAAAGAACTGGAAAACACAAAAAATCCTGCTAAGCGTCCAATGTTTGACGGAGAAGCCTAAACGTAATTACTGGTTCCAAGTCATGCATTCCACCAGAATCATAAAAATACACTGTCTTCAAGCATCTATTAATTTTAATGCACTTGTATTCAAGAAAGGTACCTATCAACTAAATGTGTGATTTGTATATGTGAATGACAACTACAGCCAGAAAATTCCATTTCTAAGCAGAATGTTTGTTTTAATTTTCGTAAGTTCACAAACCAAAGCACAGCCCATCTGGAAATAACTACAATGTTATCTGATTTTAAGGTCACAATTCAGAACACCTGGACAGCACTCATCCAAACTCACGAGGGCTTTTAAACTTTTAACCTACATCCCTGGGAACAAAAAAAATCAATTTGTACTTCTTAGTATACCCATATATACACACACACATCTCAAACAAAACCTGCTTGTCCCATGTAATATTTTAGAACTGTAAGCTGAGGCTTTAAAATAAAAACCTAAGCTGTACAATTAACAATAAAACCCTGCCATACTTTCATTAGTGTACTTCAAATGTGGGCAGGCAGATGACTAATAGTAATCAAAGATCTGTGGCCACTTCTGCCTTGAAATGCAAAGGCCACCTTACTATTGGGGAAATAGGGAAGGCTCATCAGAACAGGGAGCCTGACTGAGCTTACAAATATGCTATTAAAGAGAAAAAAATGTTCTTATAGGCTACATTCCAAGACAATAATTTGCTTTTCAGAAGTACATTTTTGAACTTCAGGTATAAATCATCTTTATTTCACATACTAAAAAGTATCCAGAGGGGAAATTCCATTAAAAGTAAAGACAGCACCCCTGTGGAAGAATTCCTGGAGGTGACTTAGAAATTAAACTTATGTTCACACTTTAAGGAAAGGTATAGCATTGAGGCAGGGTGGAATGCAGCTAACGTACAATGAGTTTGTACCGTGGCAACTCCCTAGGTAACCCTAGATGTTGGCAACATCAGGGGAACTTGGTTTGCTAACTCTAAGAGAAATTGCATGGAGAGTAGAGCAGAGTGGAGACACTGTGGACACACTCTGTGGCAACAATGGGATTCAAAGGTACTGTGGAACAAATCAGCTGCATGTTTAATACCATGGGCCAACAACCTGTCACCTTTTGACAAAAATGTTGTCCACAGAGTGAACTTTGCTCATTATAGTATCATTGTAATACCAAAACAGAACAGAACAAATTGTAGAACCAAACTTCCATCCCCAAAATTACCAGCATCCTAAGGTGCAACCACCCCTCACTGAGCTTGTCCACTGAGTTTTCTCTAGTCTAAACCTCTAAACATGAAGTGAGATAATTATGCACCAGTCACAATAAAGGTTTGTATGACTGGAGTCACTCAAACTCTATCTGTAAGGTAAAATACTATAAAATCATCTGAGAGGGTACAGATGCTAGGAAAGACACCATCGCAGCAATGACCCGATTCCCCTGACCTCTGGGACCCATCAATGGGCTGAGGCTCTCTTCCTTCCCATAGGGACACCTTTGGGTAAGATTTGAACACTCAGTTATCCTGAGCGCATCCTCAGGGAACTCCGGAATCTCTACAGTCATTTTAGTTCCACACATGTGTAACCCAGCTGTATTAATAAACTTGCACATGCTTTGCAGACAGTGAATTTATCACCAGCAAACAAAAATAATTTGTGCATCTGTTGCTTCAATAAGTAACACTGTTTGTTAATCTGGCCCTGAGAGTTCTTGAACATGACCACATTCCTGAGTGTGGCTGTGAGAGTTCACAGGATACTGCTGGATGGACAGTGTATTCTTAGTAAGTGCATCTGTATTTCTGAAAGTCCATTATAGGCATTGGGTGCAACAAGACTATTAATGCTAAGTTAGGCATCACTCAGAATCTCAGCCCAGCTGCCCCCAGCTCCTTTGATACCTCAGGACAAGTCAGAATGCAAGGGGGTTTATTTTCTGCCAAATTACTTTGCCCCTTAATGCAACAACCCCACCCATATTTTAACAGCAGAAATTTAGCAAAAGCACCTAAAAAAACACTGCAATAAAATTTTGCCATGATTCTTTGCAGAGGTGATTGTTCCCCCCTTTGCTGCTTAGAATAGCAGAATTTTCTTCCCCAATACAAAGACAAGCTTTATAAAGTAACTTGGCAGTCTTCAGAAAGGAATGAGCTATTTTTTCCTCAAAATTTATTTGACATTAGAGAGAGACTTAAAAAAAACCACAAAAAAGCACTTCATATAAAAAGGAAGGCACAGAGATCCCTACAGAAAACAAGCTTAGCGTGAGAGTTGAACATTTTGAACAAGTGTTTCTCTGCATAAGCTCTAAGTCTGCTGTTGAGAAATGGATCACCCAGAAAGATGAGGCTAGTGATTCCTCAACTCCTGTATCAGCCATCAACTACTAGAGACCCAGCTATTGCTTTTCTATTATAAAAGGTAATAGTGTGATACTTAAAAATAAATTTTACTTAGTGTGCACAATTGATCAAAGATAGCAAGTGAGAACCAAAAAAGGGAACAACTTCAGACATCTTAATCTAATTTATGGTCATCTTTCATGACATTTCACTGTGGCTGAGGCATCAGGAAGGTTATCAATAAAAAGAAAGTGCTTTCCTCTAAAACTTTTACAGACTCTATTGCTCAAACATATTTGTGTTCAAAAGAATAATAATTTAAAAAAGACATTTATTTGGATAGTTTTCCTTCAAATTACTATGGAATGAAAACATACTTCAAAGAGCAATGTGTGCAATCAAGGGCAAAAAGTAAGGATCAGTTTGTGTGCAAATACTACTATACAAACATACAATCAAAGCTCTGGTAAAGTAAGTATTGATATAGCACAGTAAGTATAATATAGCAAGTATTTGTGTAAATATAGGTAGCACTTGTGTATGTATTCATACACGGTCTACATTATTACATAAAATCGTCATTAAATGAAAATAATAGCTCTGTAACTAGTAAGCCATTCTAACCTGAACGTCTTACTGATTTCCTTCTGCTTGACCTGTATTTTTTCGTCAGCATTTTTAAATTGTCAGTGTTTTTTCATTGCTAAAATGTCTTTATCAATTGGAGTGGTTACAGAATATGTAAAAGCTGGGTTAGTAAACAAGAGTAAGAAACAGCTTTTTCTCACTGACAAAGATGCAGCATAAAATTAGCTTAAAAGGCAACTGTCACGTCCTAAAGTTTTTCTCTTAACGTGGTGGGGAAAATGATAAAAACATCTTGTAGTGCAGCTCAGTGTCCTAGTTTGAGCCAGGATGAAGCCACTTTTTACTTTTACTGTCTCTTCCATCTCCTGTCTTTCGCGAAGGTCATATAAGATATTTCTATTTATGCACAAGTAATATTGTACCACAGTTAGGCTGCAGTTTTGCAACAAAATTACTCGAAAAACTATAAAGCTCAAACGAATTGCCGCCTTCGTAATTCGGGAAAAAAGCAGACCCGTCAATCCCTCCGAGCAGCACACAGAGAAACCATCCTGTGTCTTCGCAGAGCTCGAGCTGTTCTCGCTATTGTTGGACGCTAATTAGAGCAGTTACGTGCAAGACGTCGATCGTCAGCCACAAAGGCAACCAAATGTCTAAGGCTGGTCTGCAGCACCCGCGGGGGAACTGTTTGAAAGGAAGTTTGTGCACATCGACGTTTTCAGGAGCTGCCTTACAAGACGGGACCGGTTTCCCTTCTCTCCTCTCAGACCGGGGCCATCAGAGGCAGCTTCGAGCCAGTCCCGCCGCCCCCGGCCAGGGCAGCTTTACCTCCGTAGAAGGCTGCAACAAAGAGACTTACCTTAGTGAGCTGTGCAATCTTCTTGCACATTTTCACGTGTATTTCCTGGCTGCATTCCTCTGCCGAGCCGCTGCGAGCGGCTTTAGATCCACTGTAAGACCCGGGCTGATGAACCTTGTTTATGCCAGAGGCCATTAGGCTGGAATTTCAATCAAGGCTGTGTACGCTTCGGCTAGTGCGATCCTGTTCCCTGCACGCACTGAAACTCTCACAGTGCTGGGGGACCTTAAGTCCCAGGCAGGGTAAGATCCAGCCGCCCCCGCTCTCTCTTCTGTGCAGATGTCCCAGTCCTTCAGCAGAATACCCAGGCGAGGAAGCAGAGAACAGCATGTGCGAATATCCTGATCGGGATTTTTTTTTTTCCCTCCCCTTCTCTTCAAGCGGTGGAGCTTCCGCCAGAAGATGCCAGCAGCTGGATGCTACAAATTCCCGGGGCCAGCCGTACAGGCGGAAGCACAGACGTTGCTGAGGATCTGTTACTGAGATCGTCTGCAGCTTAAATCATGTTGCCTTCTTGGGCGGCCAAAAGACTGCAGAGGTCATCAGAGAGGACGCTGTTAGCACCTTTCATGAGCTTTGTAATTTTGGCAATCCTCCCTAAGTTCGGATGGACCAACGAAGTGATGAAGAAGACCTTGATCAAGTTTTGCTGCTCTGCTGAAATTGAGTAGTTATTTCAGCTAAGA